CTCTCTCTCTCTCTCTCTCTCTCTCTCTCTCTCTCTCTCTCGCGGCTTCCTCTATGACAAATCACAAAGATCTTCATAGCCGGTCACCGTAACCTTGATGGCTCTACCGCCAATTGATCATCCTCGCTGCAGCAAAAGTCAATGACATTCAGGCTAATGGATCGAAGAGGAGAGAGAGATGAAGGGTAGAGTATGAGAAAATCTCAAACATAAGAGAGAAGAAAAATTGCCGCAAGAAAAGGGCAGGCATCAATTCAACTAAGAACCTTTCTTTTTTTTTCCTACAGGAATCGAGACCATTGGAGGTTGAGGTTGTGTGGGTTCTAATCATTTTAGCATTATTATTATTTGAGTTTAAATCTTTATAATTAATTACAGATTTTTAAATTAATTTTAAATGTCCTTTTTTTGGGTTTTAACATTATTTTGACGGGAAAGATCAAATTTGTTAACAGATACAAACACAGGGACTAAATTGGCCAAATTAATAACACGGTGACTAAATTGGCCAATAAGGTAAAACACATGGACCATTTCGACATTTAAGCCTTTTTATTTTTTATAAATGTGGTCACATTTTTAAATGTTTTCAAGTGTTGTTTAAAAAAAAAATTTAAAAATCTTGTTCGTATCAACGTATATGTGTCATATATGGAATATTGTCTCTAAATAGTAGTTTAATTAAATTAAACAATATATAGTTTTGGAATGTATGAGTGTTGTACCACAGTTTTTCTCAAAATAATAAAATATGAAGGACCCTAAAATATAGCCCTGCATGGCTGGAGATGGAAAAATTTAGCCCTACACTATTCTTTAAAAAATTAATATTTTGGAGGGCTAAATTTTTAGTCCTGGACTACATTTAGCCCTATAACTGGAGATAGCCTAATGGGCTCTAAAAATAGTGGATAGAGACCCATTTAGAGTTCTGATTTTTTATGAAGTAATTTTGTTTGGGTTAACTTATTTAATTTTAATGTCTGTTTATGTTATGTAAGTGTTTTTTTTTAAACATTTCTGAATCAGTATGATGGTAGAGGAATTTGGTTTTGATTCATTATGAGCTTCCACCATTTTCTCATTTATTTTGGATCTAGATCCTCTGTTATGATTTTCTCTGCCATGATCTGCTTTATTTTCGTTCTCCACATGACACCTCATTAAAATTTAATCTAAGGGATTTAAGCTGGACACATTATCCACAAACCCAATTTACTCTTAATTAAAAAATGGAAAAAAAATACCTTAACTTGACTAACTCCAGTTACTCCAACTTAACGTCTCTAACATGTCTGACTGTTTTTTTTTTCTTCTTCTTTTTCCTTCTCTACACGTTCTCCCCAAAATTTGAGCGATCGTCCATCTGTTCTTTCCCCAATTCTTTTTTTCTCTCTAACTTTCCTTTTACAATTTACGAAACTGTCTTGTTTTTGTACTAAAACTCTTTTTACATTTGTTGTTTGGTGTTAAATATTAATATATGATCGAGATGAGATATTAACCATGGAAATAGGTCGAGATAAGATATGATCAAACTCCGGGCAAATAAGATCAGTGCTTTATGCACCCAAACAACTTCAAGCAATCCAAGAAAAACGAAAAGGATTATGAATGCCAACCTTAACCCAAAACCCAACAGGAAAATTAAATTAAATGAATTGCATTAAAACACATAAAAGAAACCAAATATAGTAAAGAAATCCAGAGCTTTCTTTGATTATCTTTTGGAGCATACAGCGGATAAAAAACTTCTTACTTGACCTCCCACAAATTCTAAATCATTTGGTTCAATTTCTAAGAAAGTTACAAGGCTTGGGTGTGGGGGAGGACGCACAGAGAAGGAAGGAAGAATAAACAAAAAAACTGATGTTAAGTTGGAGTTAGTCAAGTTAGGGTTTTTTTTTTCATTAAGAGTAAATTGGGTTTTTGTTTTGAGAATGATGTGTCTAGTTTAAATCCCTTAGATTAAATTTTAATGAGGTGTCATGTGAAGAACGAAAGTAAAGCAGATCATGGCAGAGAAAATCATAGCAGAGGATCCGGATCCATTTATTTTTGTCGAACATTATGATGGTAGATAAAGTTGGTTCATATTTATTATGAAAATTTATCCATATCCCATATGATAAGATTACATCCCACAACAATCACTGGATCAAATTCACTTAGATAAATCTCATCCACAAATATGTTATCTCTTAGATCATCTTTTTCCCTATAAATGTTAAGGCCTCACAACACCAACAACCATCCCACTTTCAAAAGAAATTGCACTCCAATTTATGTTTTCTCAAAGCTCCATTCTCAACTCCTATACAACAATGTCTAACAATGTGTATGATCCCACTTCCATTGAAGAAGAGGAAGTTTCCCACATGATGATTACTTCTATGTATGAACGACAAAGCTCAAAAAGGACAAGAAAAAGAAAAAAAAGGAAGTTGCACAGTCGTTCCATGGTGGTACATCTTCATGACGACGTAGTATACCAAGAGATCGGGTAAGTGCTCATGAAAACCTTATGAAAAATTACTTTGTTGACTGTCCCTTGTATCCCTCATTATAATTTCGAAACAAGTTCCAAATGAGGCGAGTGTTGTTTAACTAAATAATGGAACAAAGTGTCCACTTCGACGATTATTTCCAACAAAAACTGGATATATGCGGTAAACTTGGTTTCTCACCCCAATTGAAGATGGCAGCCACCCTTCGTATGCTTGCATACAGTATGCCAGCTAATATCTCTGGAAATCGACAAGAGTTGATCTACAAAAACTATTGCAAAAAGCTGAGGAACGAGGATTCCCTGGGATGCTAAGAGCATTGACTGCATGGACTGGGAGTGGAAAAAATGCCCCAATGCCCTCCACGGTGCATACACGGGCCACTGTCATCATCCTATGCTAATCCTTGAAGCGGTTGCATCATATGTCACATGGATCTAGCACGCCAACTGTGGAATGCTAGGGGTGAATAACGACCTGAACGTACTATACCCTTGTTTGATGATGTCATAAAAGGGCGTGCTCCACAGATATGGTACATTCTTAATGGGAAACAATATAAGCAACCATACTTTCTTGCAAATGGCATATATCCAAAGTGGAGCACTATTGTGCAGTCGCTTTCGGATCCTCAAGGACGGCAAAATCAAATATTCGCTAAACTCCAAGAGCAATATCATAAGTGTGGGAGCAAATTTTGTCCCACGAGAATATTTGATCGATTGATCCACATTTCTTCTTCGCCTTTTCTTTCTCCCTGCAAAATAGATCGGAATGAGAGGACCACACCGAAGGGTGTTGGCCAAAGGCCCTCCGATGCCTAAGTTAGTTCAATTGATTCGCAGAGAAACAATAGCTAAAAAGAGTACGGAGATATCTGTATGGTGTGAACCGGGCAGCCGGAGGCGGGTGTGGTGGTTGGAGCCTTGTGTAAGGGAGAGAGAGAGAGGAGGCGGCAAGGAGGCGATTTCTGCAGTATTTTTGTGAGCTTAGAATGGCTTACCTCATGCCTTGCATAGCCTTGTAGGGTTAGGGTTTGGAGAAAAATAATCCTTGTTGGGAAATGAATTATTTTTCTGATTTTAGGAGATTTAAATCAATTAGGGATTTAACGAGAATCAAATCCCTAACTCAAGGCAAGAATCCCCAAATCAAATAATCCCCAAATGGAAAGAAATATTTGACCTATGGTTTGGCTAAAATTCAGTTCTCACAATATGGATGTTGAAAGAGCTTTCAGCATCCTTCAAGCTCGTTTTGTAATTTTAAAAATCCATGCCCGCCAGTGGTATGCATAAGACATCAGTGAGGTAATGAAGACATGCATAATTCTGCACAAGGCATGATGATGACGAAATAGTTCCCTCTGAAAACACAATGTGTCATGTGGAAAAGGTGACAATTGAGCATCATATTGGTACAGAGAACCTTCATGAGGTGATGCTGAATC